GGTTTCTATGATAGAACATAATTAGGCTTAATTATTATTATTTATATACTTAAATAGCTGTTTCGTTCTATATTACATTATATTATTATTATATATTTTTTATAAATCATTGTGAATAAAATGAAGTTGATAACTTTGTAAAGTATTTTTTATTTTATTTTTATCAATAAAAAAATCATAATAAAAAATGCATACTCGAATAATTATTTTCTTTATACCTCGAATAGAACTTAAAATTAATATTTTTATAATAAGGAACTTCGTTCCTATCCGGTGTCCCACGATACCACACATCTTTATTTTTTTTGTAATCTGCAATCGGAAGCAGTTTTGGCTAGGCCTAAGGGATCGCGAACTAGCCAAGGTTAGTTAGCCCGCTGAGTTTTTCGCCCGATCTTCTCAGTGGGTCGCGTTTCCGATCCGGTGGTAGATTCTGCGAAGCGCTGCTCTTGTTAGGGCCGGTGTTAGCAACACCTCCGGTTTGAGCAACAAGAGCTCACCTACACGCTAGGGTAATGCTGATATAGCCTCCTAAGGCTATCAGCATAAGTAGGACAAAAAAACTGCCCTTTCATTTCATATCACTTGCTGTCATGCTTCTATACGTTGCCATCTTTACCAAGAACTGATATACATATGTTAAGACCTTATCGCACAAATGCATTGAATTACAGTGATTGGTTTACTGTCAAATTGAACTTTATGTCGCTGTAAATATGAATTAAAACTGACCGGACGAGTAAGAAGACAGAGTTTGAATCCCAATCAGATACAGTATTTTTATCGAAACAAATCTGAGGTTTAATAGTAATTGTTTTTGTCTCATGACAATAACCATACCGAACATTCGACAATCTCATTATTTTCAGTCTAGTTCTTCATGTAGCTCCTACTGGTGGTAAGACTGAGTCAGCGCGGGTTGTTACCACTATTCTATCTATTTCTGCCACGAAGCTGATATGATTAACCGTCGAAAAGGTACGTTATCTCAAATGAGAATTAGGTAAAATATAAACTCTTCTGGCCATCAAAGCTAGTACAAAAAGATGTGTGGTGTCGTGGAATACCAGATAGGAACGAAGTTCCTTATTATAAAAATATTAATTTTAAGTTCTATTTGAGGTATAAAGAAAATAATTATTCGGGTATACATTTTTTATTATGATTTTTAAATTTAAAAAGAAAAAACATTCCAAAATAAATTAATATATACTAAAAACAATAATCATCGAAATCGGTTGGCGTGATATTGAGTTATTGAGTTATTTATCTATTTGTCGCGCACGCACTTAATGTAAATTTAAAGCTTAAGTGGTTTTCTCATGGATAACATTATCAGAACTGGACTAAATTGAAATGAGACCACGCGGAAAGCGTCAGATTTCTAATAAAAAACGAATCATCAAAATAGATTCTCCTAGTCAAAAGTTATGAGGTAACAAACATAAAATCTTACGTTACGGACGTTTTTTTCCCGATCAGAGTACCCCTCCGCATCATCCCATAAGTGACTTCGTTCCAAAAACACGACTAATTATAAACAAAATATACTATATGGATACTTAAAAATCCATTCAACATAGGACGGCACCAAGTAAGCATTTTTCTCCTGTATTATGAGCATCAGAAACACACAAGACCAGACATTTCGGACAAAGCTAATCAAGCTCCGGCCAAGAATAGGACTCAATATAATAAATCAAATGGACAACTAACAACGCAAAAACCAAAAGTTTAATCTCATTTTTTCGTGTATTTTCATTATTTGTAGCCTAAGGCACTTCAATATAAACATTTGCTCAGAGAAAACGTAATAACATAATGGTATAACTTCTTAAATTTCTTCGTCATATATTGTTCACAGTTTGATTGGTATCAATAGTCGGTAAATTAGGTGTTTATCAATGAGGCATGATCATTAGTGTACTTCAATCCGTCTTGTTTACTGTTAGCGGAGGCAAACAAGAAAATAACGCTAGTATAACTTCAGAAATAACTCAAGAGTGGAAACAGAGAGACTGCTTCAAAGATTATGCATCAATTACAATTATATAAAATTGACGGTTCGCTTAGTAATGAGTAGAACAGCGATTTCAAAGGAAGTCGTGTACAATTAATAATATAGGAGGAGATCAAGAATAATAGACGAGTGTCGTGTAATGAAAACATTACCGTGGTGAAAGAAACACTCATTGTGACGTAGGTTCCCACGATTTGTGAGCCAGTTTGATATTTTCCTATCTGTAGTTTTAGAGTACCTGTAGACATTTTGTATTGTATACCAAACTATTTTTTTTTCAGTGAATAAGGTTTTATTCATTCATTACGATCTCAATTCTACATACGTCTTACTGGTGGTAGGACCTCTTGTGAGTCCGCACGGGTAGGTAGGTACCACCACCGTACCTATTTCTGCCGTGAAGCAGTAATTCGTTACGGTTTGAAGGGCATGTAACTATTTAGTGTACACTCGTATCTCAGCGGTCCGCACAGTCTGGGAAGCTGGCTGACCTGACTGGTACAGGTGCTGATCAAACACGGGTAGTTCAGGATTTACTAGCACCGGGTCGGAGCTGAGCTGACGGCAGAGTGATATCACTGGAACTTGGTTGCGGCGGAGCGTGTGTGGCGGAGTGTGTGTGAGTTTATACCGCATAGATGTCGTAGAGCCGTGTCCTCGTCGCAGAGATAAGTACCGACTTGTCGAAGATAAGCGCGATGAGTTGAGTCTGGCGATGCTCGACTTCTGTGAGTACACCATTATATTGTACAACTGGAAAGCGAAAAGTGAGAGAGCATTATTCTCCTCCGCACTAACCCATCGCCATCAAGCCATGTGACAGTATAAGGGTTTGGCTCCGAAGTGTTTCGAGTGCCCTCCGTGAGCCGATTAGAAAACCAGTAAAGGAGACTTAAGAAGACAACGTATAAGCTGCTCTGTACAAGTCGTGCAAGAGAGAAATCGGGTGACAAATGACTGTCTTACCCACCTGGTCCGACGAAGTACCGCAGGATTCGGGTATACCGATGGAGAGGCTAGAACCGGTAGTTCGGCGCTTAGTAGGGGCAAGCGCATCCATTTGGTCCAAGTCTGTCTCAAATCGGTACTTGCCTCATCTAAGGCTCAGACACGGCTTTTGAGGAACAGGGGGTTTTAGATCAACTTTGAAATGACTACTACGCCAAACGTGTAAATGAAAAAGCAACGATTTCCTTATCCCAAAAAAAATATCATCACTATCGCTAATAGAATTTGATTTGTGAAAACAACTCACACATTACCATTAACAACTTGATAGTGTCACAAAGAAAGTACCTTCCCTGAAAACACCCTCAGTGCCAACAACTGTGCAAAGTTTAATTAAAGTCAATAAATGCAGGAATTAATGGAATACAAAGAGGTATATTTACTGTTTGTTTTATATTTTAGATAAAAGGTCTTCATTAAATGTTACAACTATAAAACCGTATTTCAATATCTTTTATTTCATCCTGTGCGTTTATAAATTTATAACGATGACAATATGTTATTATTCCTTCCTTTTACAAGCAATATAAAATAAAGACAAAAACTGAGCTATATAAAATAATAAGGTGGTTGAAAAAAAACTTAAATTGATTAAAAATAATATCAAGAGGTGAAAGGTTATTTGGTTAAAACTACACTTCGCTTAATACGCGACATTAAAATTTATCTTTGTAATTAATGGTGCTTTTATTTTTCAATCAAATGATATAATTACAAAACTAAACTAAGTTTTAGCTGGTTCGACAAAAAACGACATACATATTTTAAATCAATTGACTAAGCAATTACCTACACAACGATAATTGTGTTGAAGAAATGACGAATTGACATAAAGATTAATCGAATAACGAAATAAACTACCATTTGATTCTTAACTGATACCACGGATGAAATATTGAAACTGTATACATAGTAATTAGGTATATCGGCTGACTCAATGTTTACGATCGAATAAAATGAAGGTAGTGGAATAATTACAGATGTCCAATTCTTTTTTTTTTGGCAAATGGTAAACATATCCCTAATATAATAATAGATTCACTGGATGATATAAGAAAGCTTCAAACGGACTACTTCGGTAGGTACTTATAGACAATGATTAGTTAAAACAAACAAAGCTGGGAATGTAATTGGATTCGCAGACAATTCATAGTTGGGTCAGACGTTCTGTGTGGCAACGAACGAACCAATAACTCAGAAACCTCTTGGAATACAAAGGAGATTAACTCATGTAGTCACGTTCTGGTAACAGGATTACGTATTATCTTCAGTATTAAATGTCATCGGAAGATAAATACGAATGTTAGTTAGATTAAAAGGTGACGCCATCAACAACTCTGCGTTCTTAATTGACACAATGCTCACAATCAGAACTTAATTAAGATGGTTTCTTCGGTCACTAAAGTTTGTTAGAATTATATCATTCAGAACATCCCATTTCAGGTAGGTAGTTGTAATTTTAAATTACAATTTCATCAACATTATTCATGCGAAAAGTTCTAAATTACGCTGTTGCAAATTACAATTCGAGCCTGTTGCGTAAATTTTGCGGCTTCAAGAGTCCCTATGGTGATTTTTAGAGTTAATATTTTTTGTTGTACTACGATCCCACATCATCTAGGTACATACATACGTGTTGTTCGAATCCACTCGTGGTAAGTTCACGGCGAAAATTAAGCAATTTCAAACTTGAAGATATGTATATCGTAAAAAGTTATCGTTTGCACACTAAACTAACGGATAAAAACATCAGTAAAATATCCTTCAACCGAAAAGAAGCCAGAATAATCTAATCCGAAATCAAGGAATTCAACAAGTTCCACTGCGTTCCCCGGGACCTCTGTCGTAAACAAAGAAAACCAATTCGAGTAATCAAACCTATTCGACGATCGTGAAAACTGGGCCGGACATGTGTGCCTCGGCCGTGACCGCCTTACAATCACTTTTCAATTAATAAAGAACGAGCAGGCACCTGTAGAATACAACAGATTCTAACTATCACTCGTAAAAACATGCAATGTGTACGCACGCGTTGATGCCGCTCCGATATCACTGCGCACTTTCACGACTTGATTGATAAAGGGATTTGTTTACGTACTTTTTAGGGGTATAACACAGGACACAGGTACACAGGGTAGCGCGAGTCGCGGGCGGCGTCCGGATGCGACGCTGACAACGTTCGAATCACACGGCGGTCGGCGCGGCACTGGCGCCTGCTTCACTTGACGCCGGCGAACGGCCAATTCGCTACACGAAATACCTACATACGTAACGTAACTTAACTCCATATAATATTTTATAGTTTCGTAATCGTGTTACTCGATTACCGTACGCGCCGCTCTCGTTTAATTGTTGCAACGATTTCGGGAGCGGTCCTGAGATCTCGGCGGGTACGGCTTAGCGCGAAATATTCCTGTTGCGACCAGGATGCGAAAGGTCAAACGGCGTCGAGTGGATCCGACGACGCCGGTCGACCTCTAAAAGCTCAAACTGTGAACTAAACGACTTTGCCACTTACTAATGACACAACGTGGAGAACGTAACCAGACAGCGTTTCTTAAATTCAAATTAAATCGGGTTTTTGTAGAAAACTGTTATGTTTAGTAAATTTCGCTTTAGAAGGGGGCTCTGTGTGCTTAGTGCGAGTTTTTTAACGTTCTCGATAGCGTAAAAGTTAGCTCATATTTGGGATCGTTTGCGTACGTTTGCCGCTAGGGGCGCTGTTCAAATTGCATACAAAATTGGCTTAACTTTTACGCTATCGAGAACGTTAAGAAACTCGCACTAAGCACACTGGTTCGATCTCTGGTCATCAGCATCAATCAGCTTGCTAAAAGTATTTTGTAACGGCGTAAATGGACGTAATTTTTCTTGGGTATGTCCAACACGCGTTACACTAGAGAAAATCACAGATCGGGGTCCTCGTAGTACTTAGAGCATAAAAAAAGATTTTGATATAATCTCGTAGGATAACAGTAATGAACCGATATTGGTACTCTAAATACACAACGAAGATTGGTTTTAGATATATAAATTTTATACAACCGCTAAATACAGTTAAGAGGAGAGAAAATGGCGGCGTTATAAATATTCAAAGGGTGATAATGAAAAGTCCCTCTGGATTACTCGTCTGGTTGATTCGCACCCGATATCCTTGGCTTTGATATTATTACGGACAGTTACACAGGTAAACTGTCGACCTATGACAAATATCATATTTTATTCGTAAACCGAAATAATTTTACCTTACTTTTATTTTTGAAACAAAAATTAATTAATAGTTTCCTTACGTTTTTTTTTAATTTATCAAAAAACATTTTGTTCGTGATATCTGTGACTGTACTCATGTGGTTGACTAACCTCAATTGAAAAAAATTATCTGCAAAATAGGTAAATAATTAACTATTGCTTTCAACTCCTTGAATGTTTATAAATACATATATAAACATAATGTATAGGCAATCTACAGCGTCATATTTTGCACACAGTAACAAAATGGACATCACACTGACGATGAATACGAGAATGAGACTAATGAGGGCTATTCAAGTAATAAGTAATTTTGAATTCACTTCGTGTTAATGAGATTCTACTTTTATCTTGTTTGCTTACAAATAGACTAGAAAACTTCACACTTATGAATAATAAGTGACAGATAGAGATGTGACAAGTGACAGGTAAAGATAAAGTTTCAGTGATACCAGTAAACATACAACAACAAATACCTTATGCTTCAAGATTGACATTATGTCTGGAAACTTTAGAAGAACCTGTTGCTGAGCGGGATATTAGTGCCTACTCAACATTACTACTGGTGATGAGATAGATATATTGTGGGTCAGCGCGTTCATTTTTGTCACGGAGTAATCATGCGTTTGGTTTTAAGGTCGGGATAGTGGTTTCACCATACAATTGAGATTTAGGCTATTACTCACGGCAACGACACCACTGTAATGTCTATGGGCATTTATAATATATGGCACTAGAATACCGCCTATCAGGTATTCCCAAGTAGATCCTCGTCAATCTAGTAGTCAGGTGACTATACCTTTTGGCGCGTCTGGCTAAGAAATTGACCGGGATCCACCTCTTACTTCTAGATTCTTCCAGGCTTGGACACTTGGGCGAGAAGTGGAGCAGAGAGTTCCTCTTCCGAGAAAGTCTCACTAACCTTCATTCCCTCGGCGCGGGTATAAATGATTCGACCCCGGTCCCAAAAAAGTGACCATCGTTATAATAGATTGTATTGTTGGTTGGAGTCACTATCTTTATCAAAGGCGTTTTGGGTTTCTTGCGTCCCATTATAGTTTTATTTATTGATTTATTAAATACAATAGGACTGCCTACTATTATAAAAAAGTATGATACAATAGATATGATATGATACAGTAGGTTTTATCGCTAACAGTGATCTCTTGCATACTACTATCGAGTCAACACAAATTATCCAAGGAAAGTTATTAAATGCGACGCATTTACTCATTGAAAAAAAATAGATAATATGTTTTCGGTATCCACGAAACATAATAACATTTTGGTTTGGGGACGTTTAGCAACAAATAATGATCTAAAAACTAAATTTTATTTACGTTTAATTTTTATATAGTTATTCTTAATTTCAGAAATGGTGCGTTGAACGTATCATCCTCCATTTTGAATTTTAAATTCAAAACTACGCTAAGGATTCCCACATGAAAGGAAGCAAATTTTTGAGGAAATCGATTCATAGATTCGTTAATTCCACACGACGTTGGATTCAGAAGGCCGACGACACATTTTAGGAAGCGCATTAACCTTGCTCACAGTATGAAAGTAAAAGTTAATAGCGCTGTAAAAACTACGTAAAATGCGTATTCGCCGCGCCGTCACGACATTCGCTCTTTTGCTATTATTCGTACATGGCAACACTAACACCCTGGAATTTCCTGATTACGACATTCGCAAACTAATACTTAATTTAGGTACTGCAGGATTTTAGCAGGGTACATTTAAAAGGAAACTAAAACCTATAGTGTTTTTTTATTTTATTTTTCCATTACATGTAATTTAGTAAAATTAACTCTAGTTATGAGCTGGATATGCTATTTTGGAAGAACACGAAGATCCCACTGCCTTCGCACTTACACTGAGGATTCTGAAAAAAATAAATATGTATTTAGTTTCATTCGTAAAGTTTTCCGTTTTTTCTTTGCTTTTAGCCAGCTGTAGACATAATTAAAATCACTATTACTGATGGACGTCTTCGTGATCATGAAATCTGTGAAGCATTCGTAGCGTCGGAAATAATTTAATGACAATAAATACACGAGATTAAACCGTAAAAGTGCTTTTAGTAAAGTATATATTTCGTTTACGTTAAAATATTTGCACGCCAATTACTCCTATCTCTATAATGTTCACGTGTACCGGACATGGTGGGATCCTGCACCTGTTCCCGGTCGTGCGCGGTGTTCCACAGGGGTCGGTGCTCGGCCCCCTTTTGTGGAATATCGGGTATGACTGGGTGCTGAGAGGTGCCCTCCTCCCGGGCCTGAGCGTAATATGTTACGCGGACGACACGTTGGTCGTGGCCCGGGGGGGGAGTTTTGCTGAGTCTGCCCGTCTTGCTACGGCTGGGGTGGCGCATGTCGTCGGCAAAANGAGAGATGTGCTCCGCACTAAACGCTTCACTTTCCCCCCTTTGCCTTGTCATGAGTTCTGTCTCATGCGAGGTTTGGACGTTGGTTGTTGAGCGACAGGAGGTTTTAGTCAGTTCGACTCTGACATACCCCGCCCAGTATCCCCAGAAAAGGGCGGAAGTCCGGCGATTTCCTCCTGACCAAAAAAAAAAAAAAAAATCTCTATAATGTTGATCTTTTTTTTTATTGCCTAGATATGTGGACGAGCTCACAGCCCACCTGGTGTTAAGTGGTTACTGGAGCCCATAGACATCTTCAACGTAAATGCGCCACCCACCTTGAGACATAAGTCCTAAGATCTCAGTACAGTTACAACGGCTGCCCTGCCTTTAAGCCGAAACGCATTACTGCTTCACGGCAGAAATAGGCAGGGTGGTGGCACCTACCTGCGCGGACTCACAAGAGGTCCTACCACCAGTACATGAGGTCCTACCATCACATGAAAACGCTCTGAACTATGAGCTGTAAGAGTGCCCACGTGAAAGCTCAACGTTCAATACCAATAGGCACTTCTACGTTATTATAATATTCGTACGAGTAGTCACACATTGTACGATGAACTAAGAACCATTGACGATAATTATTTAATAAAAACTGAGACGACATTTCATCTTTGATTCGGTTTCGGTAAGCGCTGACTGGACCTTTCGTTGTGACTCTAGTGGAGTCCGGTGTCAATTTAAATATTAGTTACATGTGGTTCCCGCCGGAGGGGCTCATTCCGAGCGATGCGCTAATTGGTATTACATCAATAAGTGGTGATGTGGAACATGGGTTCTTAGCTTTTGTTACTCTAAGTCGGCAGACGATCTGACGGCCTTTTCATTGCGTTGGGGAATCAAATTTACGGATACTTCGCCGATGGGGATTATTAAGTCGAGTTGTGTCGGACTCTAAGACGAGTACTACTGCTTATGCCCATCCACCTGTCACTTCCGACGTCCGATCCCCGCCTGAAACGCAGCTTGAGTTGGAGTATCCCCATATAGGATAGGAGGGATCCCACGGTCAACCACGGTCTTACGGCCTACCTACTATTACGATTACGAACGAAGCTCATACACATTATCAAGTGAGTACCCCCACCGCACCTTAAGCCCTTGTTCTAATTATATTGTATACTCATCCACGCTTCAGACCAGAATGCACAGCCCTGTTTTTGCCACGAGAAACAGACAGTACACTACTACGTCGTGGTATCTATATATTAATACGTGAAGCAAAAACTTTGTACCTCTTTATACGAAAATTGTGCAGACGGAGGTGTATGAAATTTCCCCCGCTTATAGAGAATATAGAGAAGGAGTGTAGGATGTTAATATTTTTTTTAAAAAATGCATAAAAAATACATTAAATCAATAAAAAAACATTACACACACTACCATGTATTTGACAAACACACGCATGCATACTATTTGTTTATTAAAATTTTCTTAAGACAGAATTACAGACATTATAACAAAATATAAGCATTGAGAATAGATTAAATATTGTTTGTCTTTATTAATATTTGTTTAAAGGTAGTCTTGG